CACGCCACATACCACACTCATGTCATGTACCACACACCACGTGTCACATTCGCACCATGTGCCACTCTGGTGCCATGTACCACACTCATGCCACACGCCACACTTCCACCATGTGCCACACTCACGTCAGGTACTACACTCGTGCCACAATTACTCCACGTGCTACACTCACGCCACATACCACACTCATTTCATGTACCACACGCCACATGCCGCACTTGCAACATGTACCACACCCATGTCAGGTATTACACTCACGCCGCACACCACACTTAACACCATGTGCCACACTCATGTCACGTACTACACTCACGCCATGTCAGACAGTATGTGCCACACTTGTGCCACGTGCCACATTCACACCATGTACCACACTCCCACCATGTACTACATTTGCATCACAGGCCACACTCATGCCACATGCACTGCTCATGCCAAGTGGCACGCTTGCACCATGTGCCACACTCGCACCACATGCTACACTCATGCCACATGCCACACACTACACTTGTGCCACATACCACACTCAATGTCATGTACCACACTCGTACCGTATGTCACACTCACACCATGTGCTACACTCACACCATATAACACACTCATGCCACATGCCATGTTCACACCATGTGGCGCACACACACCATGTGCCACACTCGCACTATGTGCCACACTTGTGCCGCACACCATTCTCACCCCATGTTCCACACTTGTGCCGTGTTCCACGCTTGTGCCATGTTCCACACTCGTGCCATACTGATGCCACATGCCATGCTTGTGCCACATATCACACTCATGTCACATACTGCATTCATGCCACACACATTTATACTATGTGCCACACTTCCGCCACATACCACACTCACACCACAGGCCACACTCACGCCATGTGGCACACTCGCACCATGTGCCCCACACATGCCACATGCCACACTCACCCCATGTGCCACATTTGTGCCACACACCACACTCAGCCCAGGTGCCACATGCCCTGCGTGGCCTGAGTGGGAAGGAGGGCTGTGGTGGTTAGGAAATACATATGATGCCAGGTATCTCTGTATTGGGAGTGTAGAGGGTGGAGGTCATGGTTGTTGTCAGGTGATTTCTGAGCCTGCACCCATCAAAGGCATCCCTGTGACTGTGTGCACCATGTCCCCATCTCACAGTGGCCGTAGGTTGAGGTCGGGTTGTGTATGACCCTTCCACCTTTCAGGTGGTCTCACAGAGTCTGGGCCTGTGGATGGCCAGGCCCATCCACAGTCACCTGGGGTCCTGGTGGACAAAATGGGACATCCCTGGGGGTGAGCTGTGCACACGTGCCCTAGAGCAGAGCAGTGGGGCTCTGGGAGGAGGCTGACTGGGGCTCAGCCCTGACAGTATTGCCTGTAGTGACTGACTGCCTTCCCTGCAGCAGCAAGTGGGCCAGATGGACTAGCAGTCAGCGACGCTGACGCAGAGGTGCCAGTAAAGCCAGGAGGAGTTTGCATGCACAACACATGTTCACACGATACATGGCTCAGGGATGTGTGTGTGTCCGCCTCCAACCCAGGCGTGTGTCCACTTAGAAACTGTCTTGGACTCTTTCGGAAACAATCACCTGAGCTCCACGTGCATTGGATCAGGTTCTGAGGGTGATGAGACGGTACCCCCAGTGCCGTGGTGACTGTGGCTCTGGGATGGGGGGGTGAGCTGAGTGTGGGGTTCTGAGTCTGTGTGGAGGTGGCCGTGGGGGGTGAGTGGAGTGTGTGGGGGATCTCAGTGAGTATGGCTGTGGCTATGGGGGGTGAGCTGAGAGTATGGGGTTCTGAGTCTGTGTGGAGGTGGCCGTGGGGGGTGAGCTGAGTGTGGGGTTCTGAG